TAAGATTATTGCATCCTCCATCCTTTTTGTTGTCTTTTCTCAATATTTGGACATAGTGGACATTCAATAAGCCTTGGATACTGGCCATTCTTTTGAATCTTGTAGAGGTTTAGTCCTAGTCCTTCATTTTCTCAGACATTCTTTATTGATTTCATCTTTTCCTTGCTTTGGCAGTTATCTCATTCATTTGTTCCTTAGATTTCAGCGTTCCCACTGCTGTCATTTCACGGCATCTCAGTTGGGCCATGGCTGGGGTGTAACTCCCATGTATCTGTAATACCTTTAGGTACTGTGTGTACAACCCCTCCCCATGAAGTGGGCCCCACAGAGAGATGGCAACATCAAGGACCAAAGGCCAGAGGAATGGGCCCCTTTAAAAAAAATCTCATCCTAATGAATTTCAGCATTCCTGGTAAGCATATTTCTCTTCAACAGTGACATTTACAACTTGGCATCTTATTTCATAATTACATAAAACAGAGGTCCCCCACCTTTGTGGTACCAGGGACTGGTTGCATGGAAGACAATCTTTTTCTTGGACTGGGGTCTTGCGGGACTGGTTTCAGGATGATTTAAGCACATCATATTTACTGTGCACACCATTTCTATTATTATTACATTATAATATAGAATGAAATAATTATACAACTCACTGTAATGCAGAATCAGTGGGTTTGCTTTCCTGCAACTAGGCAGTTGCATCTGGGGGTGATGGGAGACAGTGACACCCAAAGTGTCTCTCTTATCTCCAGTCTACTCTGTAATCCTGTTTTGGTTGCTGTCACTACAGAAAACCCTGCTTCACAAAGGTAAGACATTGGAAATGGAAACAGGTTTTTCAGTGGTTTTGTGGCAATCTCAGGATGTTCTGCCTTGACTTCAGTCCAGCACATAGAGAAATTTGAAGTTGACTCAAGCATACTTTTAAAGCCACCATCATTCACAATATCAAGCAGCTGATCTTCTAGCAGAGGCAAAGTCAATTCACCTGGCTTATTCACACATGGGCCTCACAGCAGAAGGTGAGAGGTAGTTGAGCCAGCAAAGCTTCATCTGTATTTACAGGCTTTTCCCATCACTGAGCATTAGATTCTCATACAGAGAGCATGACCTAGATCCCTCACATGCATAGTTTATGGGAGGGCTCACGGTCCTTCAAGAATTCATAGTCCTTCAAGAATTGAACGCAGTTGCTGATCTGACAGGTGGTGGAGCTCAGGTGGTGCCGAGAGCTACCCCAGTTCCTAACAAACTGTGGACTGGTACCAGCCCAGGGATAACAGCAGAATAACTTTCTGGACAGGTGCCCACGTGATAGTGCAGGCTGCACAGGGGGGTGCTGTCGACCTCTGAACTGAAGGGACTGTCCTCTCACCTCTGCTGAAAGGCAGTGGCTGGATCAGGGTTCTGTATTGGTGGAAAGGGGTCCCTTGTGCTGGAGTTGCTGCTTCTTTCCTTCCTAGTCAGTTAACCTCATTTGGTGATACCCCTAGTGAAAGAAGCAACGTTAAGCAAGCCTTTCCTAAAAGGTGCTTTGGGATGGAAGAGTCATAAACAATATCAAAGCATCTCAAGTTCCTGTGTCTTAGGGCTGTGTATGACCTTTCTGGGTTCATTTTTAGCCAGTCTGTAAAGGGCAAGGAAAGTGCTCAGGTTCACTGGGGGTACATTAAGACAAGAATGAGGTTCTGCCAAAATGAAGGATCTTATCTGGAGGCATCTTATGTCCCTGAGCTGTGCCCTCCCAGCTCATTCCTATTCTCCAGGAGTGTTCTCTTTAGAGGGGTGGTGACATAGGTGCACAGGGGCAGTGACCAGACTCAGGCAGCTGTGTGGGGAGCTTAGAGTAGGAAGCCATCACTTCTGCAGGGCCTGTCTGGGCGGGCCAGGGAAAAAGGGGTTCAGGCTGCTCATTGCAGAGTAAGTAAAGTTTGGATGGCTTGAAAGAAGAGAGAACACTTAGAGCAGGGGACAGGCTTTTGATGAAGGGAACAGTTGACTAAGGAATAGACGCCTCTACCATCAGGAGGGTGATATTGTGCAATTATCATTAATTCCGGACGTTCCTATTCCTTAAATTCCACACTTGGCCAGCTTGTTGCTCTGCTCCAGAATTCTTTGTTTCTCAAGGTCTTTGACATTTAAGTACACTACTGGGGCCCCGGGGAGGGTGACCACGGAGCCCAGTATCTCTGATCAGAAAGGAGTTAGGCTGTCCTGGAAAGAGCACACCAGGCCAAGGTTCACCTCCTGGCCCCAGCACTTAATTGTTGTGTGATCCTGGGCTATAGTTTTTAACCTTTCTAAGCCTCTGTTTATTTATCTAAAAATGGAAATTACTTAACACACTGGGCAGTTAGGGGAAGTAAACTATTGGCATTCAATGCTGGACACTTAAAAATCATTCAAGAAAAGGGTGCCTCCCTGTGGCCATTGCCGATGTGCCTATGGAAAGTACCCCATGGGGCCACAAAGATGAGATCTCCCCTTCTTTCACAGCCTTGTCAATGCCACAAAACTGCTACCACCTATCCTCTAGACTACTCCACCTCCTGGCCACACGCCCTTGTCCCCTGCTGTGCCTATCAGCAGAACCTGGAATGGTGGTGCCATCCTATCTCATTCAGGCCTTTCCTTATGTAAGAGCTGCCTGAGACCCTAGATGTAGGAGGCTGGGCTGCAAGAGATGGACCAAAGGAAAGTGGAGAAGTGAACAGGACAGTGTGTGCTATCCGAGCTCCAGGCGGCTGTCCCTGGGTGGCCCACCATGACCTCTTGGTGGCTGCCGGTTTCATTTCTGCACATTTTTCCCTAGGACACAGTGTCCTAACCTTATGCCACCACTGGGTTCTTTCCTTCTGATCCCCAGGGCTGCCTCCAAGAGTAGCAGGCGCCTAGGTCCTGCCCTGTGGCCTGTCTCTGTTCTTTACTCTGCAGTTAGGGCAGCTTTCCAGAGACTAGCAAAGTCGCCGCAAGGGCTTCCCGACATCCGGACTCCCAGGTTATCAACTTTCCTGATTTCTGGGTCTTTGCTATTGTTATTGTTTTTAGTTGCAGGAAGGAAAGCAGTTGTTTTACTCCTCATGTCGGGGGAGGGAGCCCTGAAGCCAGCCAGGCAGCAGGGGCCGTGCTTGTAGGGACAGACCCCTCTCCTGTGCCCTTTGCCCAAGAGGGCAGAGAAACCTGGTTCTGCCACCCTTTTACTTTCCTATGGACTGAGCAGCTACATTCTCTTCTGCTCTGACTTTTTTTCCCCACAGGAAAGTAATGTAGGATATTTTGTTTTTGTGTCACAAAGAAAATAGAACAAGGAACAAATGAATCAGCTTTTCTTGAATCGTAAGCTGTGATTTCTTCATAAACTAGTTTAGAGAACGGCTATTGAATTTCACAAACATTCCTGAGTGTTTACTGAATGCCAGACCCTGTATGATGAATGGATAGAGGCCAAGATGCATAAGATATGGTCCCTGTCCTCAGAAGGCTTCTTAGCAACCTGCCCTTGGAGTGTGGTACTGCTCTGTGCTAGCAGGTGAGAAAACATGGCTATAGAGCAAAGGGCGAGCCCATCAGGGCTGGGATAGGTGTGAGTGTCCTTCACTTCTCCGTACTGCTGAGCATCAGGGCCTGGCTCAGACCACCTTCTTGACTTCTAGCTGTAGTGAGTTTCCTGTTCTCCAGTGTCTACATTCCTTGGTGTGCTCTAGCCTGTGAAGCTGCAGTCCCCAACCCCTGGGCCATAGCCCAGTACCCATCTGTGACCTGTTAGGAACCAGGCTGCACAGCAGGAGATGAGGGGGGTGGGAAGGGAGCAAGCAAAGCTTTATCTGCGTTTACAGCTACTCCTGTCACTTGCATCACCACCTGTGCTCTGCCTCTTGTCAAATCAGCCATGGCATTAGATTCTCACAGGAGTGGGAATGCTACTGTAAGCTGTGCATGGCAGGGATCTAGGTTGCATATTGCTTACCTAGATCTCATCACCCTTCCCATACCCCATCCTCAGTCAGAGGAAGAATTGACCATGAAACTGGTCCTTGGTGCCAGAAAGGTTGGGGACCACTCCTGTAAGGTGTTTCCCACACTTTTCATCTATTTAGTATCATGACCATTTTAGCAAATGAAACAACTGAGGTCAAGTCTGCTCCTGGGTACCAAGTACTTGCTCTCTCTTCTTCACTATTTAGCCGTGTGCCCTCTCGTAGACGGTGAGATAGCCCCTCTGCCATGTCATGCTTCAGTACCTGGCCCCTGTCTGCATTTAGTCGCCCCATGTCTCTCAGCCTGGGGGCTGTCCCCTCTTGGCACTGACTCAGTAGGGTCTCAGTCAGGCTGAGTTGGCTGAAAGATAAGGGAATGCACTTTGCCAGTGCTTCCCTCTTCCTCTTCCCACCCTGAGTTATTTGGAGGCAAGGAAGCTAACAGCTCTTCCGTGCCAGGTGTGAGACTGAATAATTAGGGCTTCTTTAGTCTTCTCAGGTACCTAGCTTCCTTGGCTGTTTCTTTCTGGGCCAGCACCTTAACTCAACACATATCTGGGTTTGTAGAATGTTCTGATAAGGGCCAAGACCAAAGACCCTCCTCTGTGGGTCCCTTTCCACTGGTATTCCAAAGAGGAAACACCTGGGTGCTTTGAGTTTTATATGGGCTGCCCACATACTGTACCATCTAAACTGGATATTTTCTAGAGTGAAAGGGTGCACTGCTAATGGTCACATCAGGATAACAGGCCTACCCTGGAGCAGATGGCAGCCTGGGTTTAAACAAGATGATGTCTGCAGAAGGCGGAGCCATGTCGGGCAGTTGCTGGTAAAGACTTCTAGAGCAGGGAGCTTGTTTCAATGGTAACTTTGTTTCAACGGTAACTTGCAATGTTCAGTGACAACAATAATACTCCTGTGCCCTTTTCTGTCCCCCACAGAACACTTCATGTTCTGCCAATGGCTTAGTCTCCCTTGATGTGTGTCTGTGTCTTACTGTTGTCTTTTTCTCTCCTCTAGAGATCCTGCGAGTCATTCAGGTCGACCTTGACCTGAAGTACAAGACCAACATCCGGGAGCTGTTTGAGGAGTTTGACAATTTCCTGCCAGGCGCCGTCATCGGCATAGCCCGAGAGATGCAGCCAGTGTATAGGTACGTCATGGCTGGGGCCGGGGTCGGGGGTCTCTCCATCCCCTCCCTCCCCCGCTGCTGCACCTGTGGCCCTTCGGGATTTATCAGCATGCACCTCTTCTGGATTTCGTCTCTTAGGAGCATATGTGTACTCATTGCTGACAGTTAATAGTATAGGCCGATGGGTCTGCTCCCAAGCTGTAGGTGCTACCTCAGTGTTTTAGGACAGTTTGTGACATTTTCTTCTGGAAAGCTCAGTTGTGTTGGTTTTTGGCTCTGGTTGAGCTCAGAATTTTAAAATCTTAGGTTTCGTCTTAGAGGCAGTATTAGGGTTTAATGTCCATTCTCACGGTCAGCTGGGCTTTCTTGGCCTCTGAGTCACTGATGACCCCTGCTTTGCACAAGTGCGGTGGGTGGGCTGGTGGGAAAGGCAGCGCAGCTTTGGGACATGGTGTGGCAGCACCTAGTTGAGGTGAAGAGACACCTTCTGCGTGGTACAGAGTTCTGCTGTCAAGTGTACAGCAGAAAGACGTTCTAACGCCTGAGAGCTAGGAGACGTGTTCCAGAACAGTCACTGCAGCATTGTTTATAGTAGCCAAAAAATGAAAACAACTGTGCTATTCAGCAGGCTGGATAATTAAAATGCATTTGTTCAATGAGAACTCTATAGTGACAAATGATTAAATAGCAGCCACGTGGAGTGGTGGGAAAACTAAACTCTCACCTTCAGGCCTGCATGCACAGGTGCCAAGAATTATGGAGAAAACCACAGCAATGATGATGATGATGATGATCGTCACAGCCAGCATGGCGGGGTGGGGACCTGGGGGCATAGCCTTTGGAGAGTTGCAAGGCTTTATTTCTCTCCCCAGGGAGAGGGATGTTTGCATGCATTCTTTTGTGGGTAAAATGTCTAATAGTTAACAACAACAACCAACAGGGAGAGGAATAGCAGAAGCAGATTTGTTAAATTAGGCACATGACAGTGACTGTAGGGCCAGAAAGTTCTATGATGCTGACTCTTCATCCATTGGCTAGAAGCAGGGGTCCTCAAACTCTTTAAACAGGGGGCCAGTTCACTGTCCCTCAGACCGTTGGAAGGCTGGACTGCGGGCCCTGGGATGAGTCAGCTGCTAAGCAGGACAGGCAGTGGCAGCAAAAACACCTGGCAGGCTGGATCAATGTCTCGGCGGGTTGCATATGGCCCGTGGGCCATAGTTTGAGGACACCTGGGCTAGAGCAATAGCTCAGCCATAGCCAGGGCTGCCCAAGTTTGCTCAGAAAGAGCTGGTGTTTCTCGGCCCACGGGGAGGCCTGCTCTTTGTTCTCAGTGCAGACCCTGATGCTGGCTCCCTGAGGACTCTCTTGGAGAGAGGCCCAGTCATTGGAGAGCTGCAGGGTACAGGCAACTAGTGACTCAACAGCGAGTATTTCCTGGAAAGGGAGGGGAAGAAGAGTTGTCTCAGCTTGGTTGTGGCTATTTGCAAGACCCGGATCACATAACAGGAAATTCCTGTAAGGTCTCTGAACAAGAGCTGATAACTCCTTGGGCCTTGTGGACTTGTGTTCCCTTACATAATCCTCTCGCAAGTTGCCCTAGCGTCTCTGGGCTGGCCTCTTGCTCCATGGTGGGTGGATAGGGTTTGGGCAGACACCCACTATCTTGACTACAGTGGACTCCCCTGCCTCATTCTGTCACCTTCATACCAGGGATACTGTGTGGTGGGGTTCTTGAACTGACAAAGGGAGGTGATGGAAAGAGCATCAAACAGAGGGACCTCTGTCCTAGGTCTAGTTCCAGCTTGGCCACTGTGCTCAGGGCATTGGTTTTCCCATCTGAGAAGCGAGCCTGGAAGCTCCAAGCCCTTCTGCCCCTGCTCTGGAGTGAGAGGCAGGGGCCATAGCTCTTTTGACTCCCATGTCCTCCCTTCCTCTGGAAATTGCTGGTGAGCTCCGTGGGGTTCTGGGAGGCCTGGTGCTCTGGGATATTTAGACTGGGCTCATGATTAAATGCAGTTCAGTTAGGACAGTGATGCCATCAAGCCCAGGTTTGGAATCTTCTCATGTAATGTAAGTAGAAATCCAGAAACTTCATCACCTTTAATTTAAACAATATTGACTAGAATTTATATTTTCTGTGGATGTAGGATGTCATAAACAGTACAACTTAAATTGATTAATTGTCTCAGCTTCCCAGCTTCTGAAAGATTTTAGATTTGAAATGAAACAGTTTCATTCACCTTCAGAATCCTTAATTTTTATGCTGTACCATGAGAACAATGAGACCTCTGCTGCGGCCGAGTCCGCAGAAGGCTGCAGGCCTCTGGCACTCAAAAACCAGCGGAAACTTACACTGCTTTGCGTGCTTTCTCCCTGCACACCCCCCCCCCCGCCCCGAAATGTTTCTAAGTACCTCTAATAATTAAGTTTGTAAATGACTACCCTGCCCTGCTGTGTACCCTGCTGGCTCTGGGGAATTGATTTTTAATATTTGCGGTCTCGTGCTGGGGCTGAGAATGGTTTGGTGCTGACTGGCAGACAAGGAATTGATGTGGTTTTTGCCTTCTTCCAGGAGAAAACTGGAGACTGCAGAGATCTGGACAATCTAGTGTTAGTTGTGAGCTGGTAGGATGGGGCTGGGGGTGGGGGTGGGGTAAGACTGAGAGAAGGAAGAGGGTGGGAATGGGAGGTGAGTGAAGAGAGGGTAACCAGGCAGGGACAGACAGAGCTGGCTCTTCTCTGGAGTGAGCAGTCTCCTTGGCTTTGCCATCACAGATTTTGGGGGATCTGCAGCCCAGCCACCTGCCTGCTGGCTGCAGAAGTGATCACTCGTCACTTTCTGTGACTCTTTACAGAACTGTCAGTGGGCTCCAACAACCAGGTTGTTTCCTTAAACTGTTAAGTAAGGTGGACAGGTGTTTTATTATAAGTGGAAACTGCTAGCGTCTATGAAAAGAAAGGACAATTTATTTATTTATTTATTTATTTATACATATAGAGTCTTACTTTGGTAAGTAAGCCATGGCATCATAGCTCACAGCAACCTCAAATTCTTGGGCTCAAGTGATTCTTTTGCCTCAGCCTCCCAAGTAGCTGGGACTATAGGCGCCCACCACAATGCCTGGCTATTTTTTAGAGACAGGGTCTCACCTTTGCTAGGGCTAGTCTCGAACCTGTGAGCTCAGGCAGTCCACCCACCTCGGCCTCCCAGAGTGCTAGGATTACAGACCTAAGCCATCATGCCCGGCCCCAGAAAGGGAAATTTAAAAACAAAACAAGTCAAAACCAAAACACATTTTGATCTGAAAAGTCACTAAGCAGGAATAGATTTGTATCTCCCCAGCTGTGCCATTTTTATAGTCACTTGTGCCATGGTCACTGTACTTCAAAAGGGCACTTTTGAAGTCATGTTTTATGGCTGTTTCCCCTGTATTGTATGCCACAAATGTTCAGAGTTTGGAGCAGGGTAGGGGCAAAGTATTTCTCAGTGTCCATTTGACAAATGGGGTGTTTACAAATTTTGTTTTCCCTCAGATGTAGACCAACCTGACTGTTTTCTGGAAAATAATGCAGAGATTACAGGATATTAGGGTTGGTTTTGTATAATAAGTATGTCCCAAATATTGCATGGGACATACTTGCACTAAACACTTATTTACTGTTTGTCTGAAATTTAAATCTAACAGGATGTTCTGTTTGTTTTTCCCCAAATACGGCAGTTCACACACATCTATCCAAGACTTAAAAACTTCCCTTTTTAGCAGAAGTGAATGATCTAGCTTTCCTACAAGATCCTTGAGTGAACAGGAACAAAGAGTATGGAAGTAGAGCTTGTGGGGGAAATCACGGCATGAGAGTGAGGGGATGGGAGGTGACCTGAAAGTGTCCGTGAAGCACCAGGCCTGAGGCTCATCACTCTGGAGCCAGTCTGTGGCCTGGGTCACCTGGGGAGAGTGCTGGGGCCAGGAGGCCTGCCAATGGCTCCTTTAGGCCGTAGGGCTCCTGCTGACCCTAGAATATGAGAAAGAGAGAGAGAGAGAGAGAGAGAGAGAGAGAGAGACTGACTCTGTGTGTGGGGGTGGGGGGGTGGGGGGCAGGGTTGCAGCCCTTAATTATGATCACTTTGTCCTGGGTCTGGCTGCCTGAGGAGCCTCTGAATGGGAGCTTGTTGGTGGGGGCCTTGGGTTTCCTGTTTCATTCTCTCCGGGCTCCACAGGCAGCTGCATGCTGTTGTGAGCCCAGACCCACCATGAGGTGGAAGCAGCAGGCTAATCCTGTCAGCTGCTGATAACTCGGCCACCAGGCAGGAATTTGCTTTTGTGTTAAGTATTTTAACAGAATGCACTCTTTCACCTTTTTAGGTCACATGGCTTTTTTATTGACAGGCTATGCCAGCCTCGCCTCCTTCCAGATGTTTGGAGTGAGTGAAAACATCCACCCAGCTTCTCTGCAGGCTGCCTCATTGTACTCCTGAGCTGGTGCAAGTCTTGGGGAGGAAGGAAGGATGTAGACTAAACCCTACACCTGCAACTCAGTTGCTGTGCGACCTTGGGCAAATCTCTTGACTTCTCTGAGCTTTAGTTTCTTTAGCCGAGAAATGGTGATTGTAACACTACATATGATATAGTTGACAGGGGGATTATATTAGGCAATGTATTTATGGTGCCTGGCACAGAGCAACACCGAGTAGTAACGATGTTATTCAAAGTCCCAGCTTGGCCACTGATTAGTTCTGTGAACCTAGGGATGTCACTGAATCTCTGAGTGTCCAACCTCAGTTTCCTTACATCTAAAATTGGAGATACCTCTAACTCAGCATATGCATTCATACACACACACACACACACACACACACATATATACACACATAAATATGATGTTACTTTCTTACTCAAAACCTTTATGTAAATTAATGCTAATCCTTTGACATCTAAACCCTTTCCTATGTTAGAAGAATTTCCTGCAGCCCATTATGGGAGCCAAAATGATTGGATACCTTATTTCCTAGTTTCCTTGCAGCT